ATATATATATATATATTTACGAATCTACTCAGGCAATGCAATGACATAAAATAAATAACTCATCCCTCGGTTCACTTAACAGTCGATATTGTATGTAATGAGATACTCGCTTTCAAAAACAATTTAGGCTCATTTCACTTACAAGCTGTGTGCAGAAGAATGAGCAACTGCTGATGAGTGAGCTCCAGATCCAAAAGATGACGCACTCGAGGACGCAGAAGCAGAAGATGCAGCATTACCACCACCGTATCCACCATGACTGCCACCTTTGCTTCCTCCATAGGAACCACCGCTACCACCATGACCGCCATAACCTCCTGCACCTCCAAATCCTCCTGCACCTAAGAAATATATGTATATAAATGAATCGAATAGGTCCAACTTGATTTATTCAAGAATATATCACACAAATAATCTCACTCTCATCATTGTGGCAGGTATTGAAAGGGTTCTGAAATTTCAATGCCGTTCACATCGAAGAAGATAATAATGACGCATTCAAAGGCTTTCATATTGTTTCATCAACAACCAACCCTTGTCAGTTATTCAATACCAAAAACAGAATATAGAGCACACGGTGACTGTTTTCTTTTGTTTGAGAGCTTCTGAAAAATTCAAAGTGATGTTCTATTTGATGATGTGGATGAAAACTTTGTTCTTTAACTGACCACTGTCGAGTATATCTGTCCAGCTTTTGGATTTACGTTTACCTATTAAGACATCCTTGGGTGAAGAACAATTCGACTTCAAAAATTTCGATAACTTTCAGAAAAAAAAACCGTTATAAAAAACTCTAATCTATGGAGTTACTTCAATTTTCAGTAGATTCTCTATGAAGACGAAATGCCGTTGAACCATTACCTCAACAACAAAGCTCTCAATGTCGTCAAAGTAGGAATCAGAAAATAAATAGGATATAATCAAATACTGTGAGATGAGATGAGTAACTGATATTGGTTATCACCTACCTCCTCCTAATCCACCGCCTAACCCGCCCCCATATGCTCCTCCTCCTAGTCCACTACCTATTCCACCTCCATGTCCACCTGCGAGTGCTCCACCTGACCCACCACCAAATCCACTTCCCAATCCTGTACCCTTTCCACCACCTTGTCCTCCCCCAAGTCCATCTCCAAGTCCTCCTCCTAGTCCTCCTCCTAGTCCACCTCCCAGTCCACCTCCTGATCCACCGACATGGCCAGCTGAAATATCATCATGATGTTAAAGGGAAGAAATCATAGATTACAGCAAAATACTTATACATCTATATATTATAAAAAAATAGATATTTGTGGAAGAAAAATGTTTTGATGGAGAATAGATTCGACTTGAACTCAACATTTGGTGACCATCTTTATTGATGAAATTCTCACCTCCAGTTATGATTCCACTTCCACTACTCCCACTTGCTGAACTTCCACCAAATCCTGAACCTCCTCCGGTTCCACCGCCAGTACCGAAACCGTGCCCAACACCACCTCCTTGGGCTGAAAAATGAAGTCATTAATTAATTACTTTTTGTTTCAGTGAATTCTAAGATTAATTTGGGTAAACAGGAAAATAAATTATGTTGGTCATATTCCAGAGATGAATATAGAAGATAGATATTGAGTGAGAGATAACTCAATGAAAAATCCAATCGAATATTATCATAACAATACATAGAGAAAATCATAATTGCAATATGTTTATGGCCAGACAAAGTATCATTTGCAATGTTTCTAGGTTTTATCTATTATATTTTTCTACACGAGATTATTGTTGAAAATCTAGATATAAACACAATGTATACTATAAAAGGGTTTTATAAAAACCGCGACACTTGTTTCGCTATACAATAGCTTCCTAAAGCATAAACTGAGAGTTACTTCTAAGTGGTTATGCTTGTGCTTGAGAAAGCTATTGTTTAGCGAAATACGTGTCGAGGTTTTTGTAAAACCTGAAAATCATACAACAACCGTATTGATTAGTTTTTTAATATGGATTTTCATCAAGTATCGGCCAGTTCTATTCAACTATGTATACTATGTAATATATGAGAATGATGAGATATTTCATTCAATATTAATAATTTATCACATTCCTTTCCTTGGAGTATCCGATGATTTTATATTTTCTCGATAATTCTAAATGAAAAACTAAATAATATGGATTTTTCTGTCAGTTTTTGAGGTTATCTCATGTAACTGATAAAATATTGGTCTGAGAAAGTTCATATGAACTGAAATTTTTGTATTTGCATAAATCCAGTCCATCCATTTGTGAAGTGGAATTAAATTTCGATTGGGAAAGATATATTGAATAAATCACTGCATTCCCTCTTGTACATAAAAGTCAAACTTTTTACATACCTCCGGGACCTCCAAAGCTTCCAGTACCACCACTGGTTCCGCCTCCCTTGCCTCCGTATATTTTGACATCTTGAATGAAAAGTTACTTATTGAATAACAACTGGTGGAAATTCACAGTTATTTTTTCAAATTAGAACTTTCAAAATTTCTTAAGTATCTTTCCTCAGTGTTCAGACTGACTCCGATTACTTTCAAGATCCTTACCTCCAGTTGCGAATCCGTCTCCACCACCTCCAGCGGAACTTCCACTTGAATCGCCTCCTAATCCTCCACCGATAGCAGATCCAAAACCACCCCCAATACCACCAGCTCCACCACTGCCATGACCTAATCCAGCCCCTGCTGAAAGATGAATAATTGATTTCGATAATGTCATTGACATCTTTATTGAAAATCACAATTTCCGGTAAAGGGCAGATTTGAGTTCGTCTAGTTCCATTCAGGCGTCAAGTGAAAAAACCCTCAGAGCTTATTATTACCTGTTTAATCTTTCTCTTGAAGATGATCCCTTGTGATTGAAACACGTGTCGAGGTGTTGAAAATAACGGTTTGTTGTTGGAACTAAACTCCAGTTATATTCATTATCTGACAAGTAGACAAATTGAGCTGCAAAGCCGAATTCGAAACGTTAGAAACGAAAAACCTTATCTTGTAAGACGTTTCGTTAAAGTTTCCGCTTTTGTTTAAAAAGTGGATATACTTCAAATTCCTTGAATTTTGGAATGTCATTCGAACAAGCTCCAGAAGAACAAGTTTTATTTAATTCAACCGACCTGTATTTCTTACTGCTTCATATTTTCCTGGGCTGGCTTAACTTTCCTTGGACACACACATATCTCAACAATTATATATGGAGATATGAAACCTAAATGGAAGTCGTTGGATTGTTGAGGAATGAACGGAATGAACTTATTCATCATAAATAAAAATGAAGTTCAAATCGACATTAAATTCTTTCTTTTTTTTTCGGAGTTGATATTATGATTATAGTACATGAGTTCAAATTGATTGATTATGTTTGATCATTCTAGTTGACGAATAATTGGGTAAACACAGCATTACTCAAATTTGTTGCATGTTCTTTCCTGAATTGGAAAATTAATACTTGGAATTTTCACATTTTATGTTTGGTTTATATTGCAATGAGTTCCAATGTTGAATGTATTCATTTATTTTGGATGAAAATTTTTTTAATAACCAGAGAAAATTTAATATTATCAAGTTGCTCATTTTATCGAATGTGCCGCAATCAATTTAATCAGATCTGAACGGAACTGACAAAAGAAAATTATTTGATGTTGCCCATTTGTGAAGTGATGACAAATAAAAATTTTCACTTGGGGTAAATGAAGGAAATATTTCAATCTTCACCAACCTCCGGTTGTGGATCCGGCACCATATCCACCTGCGGAACCTCCGCCTTTACCTCCGCCTAATCCTCCACCGGTACCTCCTCCAAAATAACCCCCACCACCAGATCCTCCTCCGATTCCCGCACCTGTGCTTCCTCCGAAGCCTCCTCCTATTCCTCCACCAGTACCTCCCCCAAAGCCGCCACCAGTACTTCCACTACCTGCATCACCAGTGCCTCCTGATTCTTTACCATATATGTTGACATCTATAAAAGTATTCAGATATTAGATTAACATGTAACCAGAACTTTACTCTGTATTACTTCCTGTTGCAAATCCATTACTGCCACCGCCTGAACCTCCACCTGATGATCCTTTTCCAATGCCGTGAGATCCGGCATTACCAGCTGATCCAATACTTCCATGACCTGATAATAATGATAGTGAATGGTATATATGTTAGGTCAATTGAAAAAGTGAAAACTCAGTGATAAATCGAGTTCATTCACACACGTCATACACAAACATATATAGGGTTTTTTATCGAGCGCTTCCTATCCTTAAATTCAAATAAAACAAAGTATGTGTGAGATATCATGGACATTTTTCATTCGTTAGGAAGACCTATTGATACCATTATGTGTGGAATATAACATATTTCAAATTTTCGCCACGGCTTCTCTGGTTATAGCGCATCTGAAACGTCCAAGTTTTCAAGACTCTGGCGCATAAATCAGGCTGAATTTGATCGATGCTAGGGTTATGTTGGCTTTGGGAACCATTCGCAATACACCTGCGACTCAAGAAAACCCCATGAGAGAAAGTCTAACGGGGTCGAATCGCACGATCTCGGTGGCCAGTTCACATCATCTCCACGTGAGATAACCATGCCCTTGAATCGCTTGTGCAGAATATCCAATGTGGCATGATCTGTGTGGCATGTAGCACCGTCCTGTTTGAACCATATGTCGTTGGTTTCCGGATCATCCGATTCAGGCCAGAAAGTTAGTAATCATCGACCTTTACTGCTCGTCGTTGACAGTGATGGCTGGCCAACATTGTTCTCAAAGAGATATAGACCAATGACGCTGACAACTCAAAATCTATACCGAACAGTGACTTTTTTGGGATGCATTTGGACGCTCTTGGATCTCATGTGTATTAGTATTGTCCCAAACTCGAAACTTTTGTTTGTTCACGTAACCATTCATTCAGAAATGGCCTTCATCGCTCTAGATGATTTACCTTCAGTTCCTGGGTTAGTTAAATTTTTAACGGGTGCATGCCCAAGTCACGAGGCAAAATAAGCCAAGTTGTGGTCTGCGAAAGGCCGCGTTGTTATGAGTGAAATACACTGCGAAATTGACTACCTTGGATTCCCCTGCACACTCTCAGAGACAGCGGTGATGTTTTTGACAGATCTTGCGTTTCGTCAACGTAAGGGTGTTGGTCTATCGTTTACTGAAACAGTTAATTCACCACATTGCGAAAAATCTTCTCGGTAGAACAACAGAATAATTCCCACAAAAAAAAATGTTTACGTTCTAATGGACAGTAGTACTAAATTTCAACTTATTGCAATTCCTGAGTAATTAATTTTATCCAATAAATATTTGCTCATTTATTGAAATGCAATTGGCAAATGATTGATGAACGGTTTAAATATGTATAAATTTGTAACTGAAGCTTCTGCTTGAATATAATTTCAATGAAATATAAAAATTTCAAGTCACCTCCAGCACTCCCATATCCTCCAGCGCTTCCCACATCATTACCGGTTCCACTCCCTTTACCACCTCCGATTATTTTAACATCTGAAATAAAACATCATTCATCAATAATTTTCAACTCTTGATTATCAGTACTCTTATAATAACCTCCTGTTGCAAATCCACCTCCACCACCTCCAGCTGAACTTCCTGAAACTCCTGAACCTGTACCTCCACCAACACCGGATCCAAAACCACCTCCAGCACCACTGATTCCTCCGGTTCCGTGACCAGAACTACCACCTTTTGTTGGGGAATTAAATTTCAAAATTATTATTTTGGTATGAAACATTATTGTTTCAACACTCTTTGGCAGACACACGAATACTTTTTGCGGTAATTTTTAGGCGTATGAACTTTTTTTCCACGATATTCATTTCCCAAGACCAGGTTCAATGATTCCACACTTTACTCATAAATCAATCTAATTTGATGCTGAAGTCTGAAAAGAGTTGAACAGTCACAATGGAGTTGTGTGTAATTTACAAAATACAATAACATCAATTTTTGCCAGAAGATCTCAATTAACGAAAGAGTGTGGAACTGGTGTGATTTGGTGAAACCCTAGTGGATATAAAAACTTTTTCACGTAAAACGAAACTTTTTATTCAGATTCCTACACAAGCAAATTAACCTACCTCCAGATCCAGTTCCATAACCACTGCCTTGTCCACCTAAAGTTGAACAAGAATTAATTTTGAAATCAAAGATTGAACATTCCAGAGATATACCTGTTCCAAATCCACCACCTGTAGAACCGCTACTTCCAGCTCCGAAGGATCCATCTCCACCTTTGCCTCCGCCTACACCACCTCCAAATCCAGTTCCTCCACCAAAACCTATAAAATTTCAACATAGAACCAGATAAATTTATGTATAATTTCAATCTTGAACGGTACTTGAAACGATTAAATCTCTGGTGAAACGGAATAAAATTCAACCTCTCCAGATCCACTACCACCGTATCTGCCGCTACTTCCACCTGCTTTCCACCGTAACATTGGAAATCAATAAACTAATCATTTGTGGGCAGAGTTGCGTTACGCTTGTATATACAGAATACTATTGTTGAATTTGAAACATTGATATTACTTGTTGAATGATTTGAATATCAATCTGACTTTCACGGCCAGAGTCATGATTACAGAAAAAATTCAAAAATGAATGAAATTAATCTCACCTCCCCCAGATCCACCTCCACTGTATCCACTTTTACTTCCACCAGCTTGTCCACCTAACATAAAAACAAAATATCATGGATTTATGAGACGAACACTTTTACATAGATAGAAATTTAACAATACATACCTCCCCCGTAACTACTCCCTCCACTTCCACCACTTTTGCCTCCACCAATACCACCACCAATTCCGGTGCCACCACCTGAAAATTATCGAAAACCATAAGACTGAAGAATAGCTGATTCGTTTTGAATTTTCAGAATTAAATATTTCTCATGAAGTTTCATGGCATCAGTCCTATAATAACTTGACACCTTTTCATTATATTATTATACAGGATGTTATTATTGATGCTACGGATTCGGTTAAATAGGCAAACTAGTATCATTTTCAATTGTCTTCTTGATGACGAGCACAAAAAAAAATTGACAGTCGCGTTTTCAAAATATTTCATTAAGTGACATTTTTTTTAATAGAACACCCTATATTTCATCTTGCAGTTTGATTCGTAAGCTCATATCACCTCTTTTCTGAAGTTGAAAATGAGCGACTTATGTGGAAATATTTATTTATTTCACAATTTTTGTTTTGGGAAATAAAACCTCTTGATTGTCCAAACACCTAATTTTGGTACATATACGAATGACAATATTTTGTTACTAACAACAAAAAGAAAAAATTGCCCTGGAATTTGAACTCGTGAAACCTGTGGTCATCATGAGATATTCAGTAATAATTTACAAAACGATAAATTCCCTCTTAAAGTCATTCCACTAGCCATATTCATTTTGTGAATCAAAATATGTTTGCAATAATGATAACATTGAAGCCGTTTCTAATACTGGAGGGTCATATTAATGGGGTTGGAAAAAAATGTGTTTGATTCGATAAAACAGAAATTATTATGAGTAATCAAGTTGCCTTCAAAATCTGTTGGAATACTATTTGTCCAATATACTCAAGTATATCATAACAATGTCATAAATCATTGTAACTTCTATTCTAATATTTTTCGAAATGCCGTTTTTCCATCGAGAAAAATGTGATATGTTAGAACTCTGTTTGGTTTGCCATAAAAATAGCGTGAGAGCACTTCAACACTACAGAATTCGTTCCTCGATCGTAAATTACCTAATCGACGTTTTGCTGTGCTTCATCGTCGATTCAGGAACAATGAAAACGTTTTTGAGAAGAGCAGAACTAAAAAACGCTTTGTAATATCTGCAGATACAGAAATTCACTTTTCAGTCTACTTTGGGGTAAATGCAAATAATTCCATAAGATATTTATATAGAGAAATGTCTGTTTTTCAAGGAATTCTGAAGAAATATCAGATTTTTCCTTATAAGAAGGACCAGTGAAAATATTAGAACCTGGTGACCCTGAGAGACGATTGAGGTTTTGTCGTTGGTTTATGAATAAATACAGACAAGATCCAAAGTTCTTTAGAGATATTTTATGGAGCGATGAGGCTAATTTTTTGAATTGTGAAATGTATAATAGAAAAATATTTCATTTTTTGAGTAGACATAATCCATTTCAAGTCCGTCCCCACAATCCGCAAAGATAATTTAGTATTGATGTTTGGTGCGGTCTATTTAGAGGTAGAATTGTCTACTATGTCTCCATTTGTCTACTATAATTCTTTGAACAGACCCTGTTACATTAATTCAATAACAAGATTGTTGGAAGAGTTTATCGATGATCTTGATCTGGAGGTTCGTCAGATGATCAATTTTCAGTAGGATGGAGCACCAGCACATAATATCACTGGCGTGAAAAGATTATTGCAAGACTGTTTTGGAAACAGATGGATTGCTACAAATGGTCCTGTTGAGTAGCCTTCTCGTTCACCAGATATGGCACCTCTATATTTTTATTTTTGAGGATTTCTGAAAAATGAGGTGTACAAAATAAAATATAATGATGTAGATGAACTGAAAACCTACATTGAAACTATGCTCAATCATAGCAATACATATTGTCAAAAGAAGGTCCCGAATATGAGTTCAAGAAGGAGGAGGTGTTTTTGCATATTAACTCGATATTTTATAGCTCTTTATTCGGCAAAACAAAGAATTTTTTTGGTCCAGTGAAAGAAATAAATATTTCCACATAAGTCGCTCATTTTCCCCATTAGGAAAAAAGCTGATATAAGCTTTGTTGTTAGAATGTTATTACGATTCTAAATGCATGATAAAATAAAGGGTGTTCCAAAAAAATATCATTTTATGAAATATTTCGAAAACGCGACTGTCAATTTTTTTTTGTTTTCGGCATCGAGAAGGCCATTGAAAAATTGCTACTTGTTTGCCCATTCAACCAAATTCGTATCATCAATAATAACGGATTTGGCAATGGTGCCGACTTGGTATGTAACACCCTATATAACTCAATTACAATGACATGCTCCATTATTTTTTTGTCATTTGTATTGCAAATACAATATTGTTTACTAGATCGTAAAACGTTCATATTCTACTTCACCAGTGTAGTATAGAAAGTACAAAACTTTTAAGGAAAGGACGAAATTGAAAATATCATCATAAACTAAAATACGTATATAAAACATGCTCAGAAATTACTTTGAATATCCACCAGAAACAACTTTTTCCCATTGAGATCATTGTTTTTTATGAAAAGATTTAATCTAATAGAAATCACTATTTGTCCCACAATTTGACCACCATTTGGCACTGAAGGAGACAAATCTGTTTCATCACAATGACAGTTTGATAAAACTTATAAAGAACCTTTTGGTTTTTCATTTCTGCTTCAATACATGAAGTCCAAAAAAAAAGAAAACACATGAAAATATCAAAATGAACAGATTCTTCACATTTCTCAAGAGAATAGTTTCACAAAAATATAAGTTAATATACGTTTTTCATTAAGCAATGTTATTTGAGTCATTTGATCAAAAATAAATATAATTTTTTTTTATCCGGTTTTCATGACAACTGTTGGTTTTTTATAATGATTTCAGTTCATAACATTGATTTTTGAAAGTCCATTATTACCGTGCAAACTGTTCGGGTTGGACTCCCGTATTTTTCATGACAAAATGATTTTTCGGCAATATTTTGAATCCAGTATCATCATGAGTGGTCTGCAATTCGTGACAAACCACAGTAAGTGAATTGAAAAATTCACCGTCTAGATATCTGAATGAATAAATGTTATCAAGATTGCGAAACTGATTGATTTCATCCTCATTATCTCATAGGTTCAGAAAAATTGACTGAAAATCCTAGCTTTGAGAGAGTTTTCAAGGAAGAATCTTGAACCTTCATTATTTTCTAGTTGTAGTAGATATTACCTGTATAAATGATGAAAAACTCATTTATGTCTCCTATAGTGACTTATGTTTCATGGGTAGGAATGCAACTCATATCCAAATCGATATTATCCAAAAGAAACATATTTCTCAGATTACACTTACCAAATGCACCTCCTTGATGTCCACCAGATCCTGTAGCAGACCCGCCCCCACCTTTGTCTATTCCATTGCCCAATCCAGCATAGCCCCCACTCGATCCACCAACCGAACCGCCTCCCTTTCCTCCTCCTGATCCACCTCCAAAACTACTACCACCTGCGTCTCCTCCAAATCCACCTCCGACACCTCCTTTTCCTCCTCCAGTACCAATTCCGGTTCCTGAACCACCAGCCGATCCTCCTTCAAATCCTCCCCCAAATCCTCCTCCAAATCCGCCTCCAGAACCACCACCCCCTCCAAATCCTCCTCCACTTCCTTTTCCACTACCGCCTCCAAAACCAAATCCTCCACCGCCTCCGCTTCCTCCTCCAAATCCGCCACCGAATCCTCCGCCACCTCCACCGCCTCCACCGCCAAATCCACCTCCACCCCCTAATATGGAATCTAATAGACTTTTATGTTCCTTTTGTGCGCCATGAAAGGGGATGTGTCGACGACCTCGAGGTGGGATTACACTGTATGAAGTGGGACCCTACAAAAACATAATTAAAAAAGAAATGAAAATTCATCCTTATATAATTCTGAACAGGAAATAAATGCCTTTGACAGCAATAAAGTCATCGTTATTAATATCACAATGTTGAAGAACTTAATTGATTGCACATGAGTTTGAATGTACGTGTTGCTCGTAAAAATACATCATGATTAATGAATGTCAATTTTCCACCTTTTGAAGTGCTAATAAAATGGACATTGAAAGTAAAATCATTGATAACAGGACTCAATTATTGGAACTATACGAATATTTTGTCGGAGGAAATGTGAGAAATTAATCAAGTGCTGATTGCTTGCCATGCTCATCAATTTACGAACAAAACTGGAATTATGCAAAATGATGTCCACTTTTAATTAAATGTGTTTTTAAATTATATGTGGGAGACTGCATTCATTTCAAGGTAATTCTGTATTAGGCATTCTGGTATTCTATCGTCACATTAGAAAACAGAATTAAAAGTGTGAAGCGCAAAAATCGTCGCTATAATGAAATTATTATTTTTTCATTAGTCAATTGGCTATGTTTGAAGACTGGCAGTAAACAAATCTAAAGAAATGAACTTTAAACGTTCAAGCCAGTCTCGAATATACCTACACAGTGGGTTGAATGGACTGACGCCTATCAGAAAACAACTACTCTTCTGGATAATACCACGAAGGGTATTGGATTATATCCAAAAGGTGTCAGTGCAGGAATCTTCACAGAAAATTTCCTGCATATGCAATTGGCAATACAACTGAAAGAGTCGACCCTCAATTTTGGAACGGGCACACTTGCAGACCGGTTTCATGCTCATTAACCACTCATCAGTGCAAGAAAGTGGCCATCATTGACCTAAAGTCAATGATAGTCCATAAATTGAAAATCGGAATTCTCTCAGAGTATTTCATTCCTCTTCTTAAGTTGGAGCGAACAACAAAATGTCACTCCATCTAGTGGACGAGGTACTAACCAACTGCATTGTTTTCTAATAGGCGTCAGTCCATTCAACCTACTGTGTAGGTATATTTGAGATTGGCTTGAACGTTTAACGTGCATTTCTTTAGATTTGTTTACTGCCAGTCTTCAAGCATAGCCCACTGACTAATAAGAAAGTTTTTCTTCCTCATTCATAGGCATCGGCAAATTTCGAATATGCAGTTGGTTAGTACCTCGTCCACTAGATGGAGTGACATTTTGTTGTTCGCTCCAACTCAGGGAGAGAAATGAAATACTCTGAAAAAATTTCGATTTTAAGGAAGATTATCTCATCGTTTTCTGCATTTGCTAATACTAATTATTATATCTTGGATACTATTTATGAAATACTGGCTCAATACGTTGGTGATTGAATGGCAATTCAACTTGTATTTGGTTGATATCACTGGAAGTTTATCACAACACCAAACCGTTATTTCAACACCTCGCCCAATGTTTCGATCACCAATAGATCATCTTCAAGAGAAAGATTATCTCATCGTTTTCTGCATTTGCTAATACTAATTATTATATCTTGGATACTATTTATGAAATATTGGGTCAATACGTTGGTGATTATTATTTCGTCACTATAAATTATCTCTTCGCAGTTTAGACTGGAAATTGAACTTCCTACATTTTTTCTGCCAGAAATTTTTTCGAGGTGCATCAACATCAACCTAGGATTACCCGTACTCCCATCAATTTGTTGTTCAACGAAATATCTTTTTTGACTTGTTCATTATTTTCACGGCATTGTTCCTTGCCTGTTTATAGAGTTTAGTTAACACATTTTTCATAGGCTTTATTCCTTTGTTGAAAAATGGACTACGTCCTTACATAAAACCACAAGGTGCAATTCAACTCCTGAGAGGACAAAATGACTGAAAAATGAACCTTTTTTTCGATTGAGAGAAGTCTGGTGAGTGTCAAGTTACTGGGAATGATAAATGTCAAAATGACCTTCTGAACTCATTTTCCCAAAACAACGTAATTCATGGAAAAAAATTCTGTTTGCTTTTTACGTCTCTGAAATAGAGCGTTTATGCAAAATGGTGAACTATCAAAGAAGAAGGAATGATGATTTTTTCATATATCGACTGAAGAAACAGACGATCTGGAATAATCGCTTTCCCCATGGGTATTGAATTACACAAAATTTCTTTCCACATTTTCAACGAAAACGGATGTCTTTCATTTGAAAAATTACAAATCTGAATGAATTGAAAAATATGATTATACAATTCTAGTCATAAGAATCCCTTCTACCTTCAAATGAGTCTCAGAGTTTCATTTGGAATCACAAGTCCTGGTTACCAAATCAGCAGTAGTTGGACAACTAAGTGACCATTTACGTTCATCATGCGAAGTGACGAACTGAAGATGAATTACGAAAAAGAGAGGATCAGAGTCTTTACTCCACAATTTTTTTCACTTGTTTTAATTTTGTGAAACTAAAATTGAGTAATATTGTTTTGTACCATAATCTCAACATAGTACTAAAATCGAAGTTGTATGTATACTTCGACGGTTTTGAATAATAACTGATTCCGTTCTATGGCGGGCTCATGAAGTTATCGGTGTTCAAAGGGAGAGCGAATAATATTGCGATATTCTCCTTCTCATTTAGCCAAGAGAACTCTGCATATTCTTAGGCCTCTCGTTCACTGAGTAATATTGTTTTGTACCATAATTTCAACATAGTACCAAAATCGAAGTTGTATACTTCAACGGTTCTGAATAATAACTGATTCTATTCTATGGCGGGCTCATGAAGTTATTAGTGTTCAAAAGGAGAGCGAATAATATTGCGATATTCTCCTTCTTATTTAACTAAGAGAACTCTGCATAACCTTAGGCCTCTCCACTGGGAGAGGAAAGCTGCGAACTGCGAAGCAACGAATTCGTGCAAACACTGTTCGTACGAAATCGGGCGATCAACATCGTCCATTGCTCAGTATTCATCGTGATTCATAATAGGTGAAATAGTTCTTTGAAACGGTTTTTTTTCAATTGATGAAGAATTTTTTGCTTTGAAATTTTTGATTCATCGTCGTATCAGGTAGGCAAAGGCGGGAAATGTGCGTGGATCCGACCACCACTTTTCTCATTTTTGAATGAGAATAGACACATTTCAATACATCATTGTAACTATTTTCGCACTAGATCGCAATCAAATTCCAGCAGAACGGGATCGGTTCGTAACTCGCATCTACTCGGACGAAAATTGACGAACAATAAGGGCCGAATGGACGCGGTGCCCTTCCGATCCATGTGTTTGGATTGTTCGTGCATTATCGTGCCAATTCTGACGAATTGATATCGCAAATTATCGCAGCTTTCCGCTCCCAGTGGACGAAAGGCCTTAGCCTGAACTCCTTAAAAATGTAAGCAGAAAATCGACCAGGACCAATTTCCTTGCACAAATATAGACCGATGAACTTGATGATTTTTTCAGGCATCGAATTAATTCCGTCAATCTCAACAGTAGATTGGAAAAAGGTATTCCAGCATTTTTGCGAAAAAAATCTGAAAATGTATTCCGTAGACGGCGCCTTTGGTTATCGTACATATTCCGAGTACATTTGTTCTCGTGGTAGCAACACTCTTTCTAATATAATCAGTCCAATCACAATAAACTTTGCTGATTTTAGGTTTTATATTCTAGCGAAATCATGCAAAATTTCAGATTTGCAAATCTGATTTTCAAAAGTTCAAAGAATTCCATCTAAATTTACGTTTGAGTGAAATATTGTTCAAAGCTTGCAATAATGTCAATCCACATTTTTTTCAAATCCATTTTCTACTTCATTTTGATTTCATTGAGTTCTTACTTTCTTGTATGTTACTTGGTGAAAATTTCTCAATATTTTTACCTCTAATATCACAATTGCTGCTTTCGTAGCAATTTCAAAATCTCAGAGCCGTTTATTATATATATATTTTTTAAATAAAACTTCAAGAAAACAGTTCATCTACTCCCTTAATAATCAGATATTATGCAAGTCTTATTTGTTTTATATACAGTGTTTAAAAGGCATATTCCTGAGCTGATTTCAAGATGAAATGTTCATATAAACATTATTTCGGAAATACATTGTTTCCAAGATGTTTTGTATTATTATATCTGTTGTCATAATGATTATTGAAACTTGATAGATAGCAAATATCGCAAACAATTACTTGCTGCTCTTTTACATAGCACGCTAGTTGTTTTTAACCGCTTTTGGTTTTTTGGGAAAACAAAGCGAGTTACACAAACAAAGTTTCATTTCCAGATGTTGTTCACAACGCATGATTAAACATTACAAGAAACCAGAGTATTGTCCATTTTTGATCAATATTGTTGAATAAACTGCCCCTGTACTCAATAATTTGTATTTGATTTAGGTTGAATCTTGTCACTGGAGACTAAACTGCTGAATTTTACCAAATCAAATGATGGATATATACAATGATAATTCAAATAAATATTTTAATGGAAGTTCAATACCGTAAATTTCGAAAGCAATTCATTTCCATATCAATATTCACATGAATTCTTTCATGACATCACCGCAATCAGAAAACATCTTGTATACCAACGCTTTGAAAACTGTAAACTCAAAGAGCGAATTTTACTTTCAGTTTTTATAAAACGTCGATGAGAAAAAAATGTTTGATGCAATGCCCGTTAAGAGACAGTGATTTTGAATACTTGACATGAGTCAAAATGTTTCTTGAGGCTTTGATGTCACCCAGCTATATTGTGCTTTTGAACATAATATCGCTGAAATTTATTATGTTGGTCATTAGTTGGGAATTCTACCTGATTGTATGAAAATGTAACAATTTTAGTAGACAATGAATACTAATTATCATTATTATTTCTATATTTGAGTCAAACGGAATTCTGAATATATATGAAGATCATTGAAAGTGCTCAACAAATTTGAATAAGCGTATGTATTGTATGGAAGAGCGTACATACCTCCAATGCTTCGATGAATATGATTTGATTGGCAGCTAAGGTTAACACCAACACTACAAGTGGTTTCGGCCACTTCATGATTAATTGTGTTTTCTTTCACTACTCTTCTCGAGTTTTTATAGATTTATTATAATTGTTTTTTATTCATGAATGTATCTAGTCACGACCGTTCTGACTGTTACATAGTGAGCCAAAATAACAATATAGTGGGGATGGCGGTGGAAAGAAAAATGAAAAATTTTGAAATGAAATAACCCGATTTTGGTCATTTAAGAAAGATATTATGGAAGAAACAGCTTTCATGATTGTACTATTAGGCCTCAATTCAAACTAGTCGCACTAGGGCTTCTTTAATTTTATTTATCAACGAATTCACGAAAAAAATATTGAAAATTTCAATAGATATAATTTCTAGAAGTTTTGGAAAATTGAGAACACCATCAATGAATGAATGAATTGAAAATATTGAATTTATTTCAACAAATAACAACTGGGAGTCAAAATCATGAATTATTGGTTTACAAAAATTTTAATTTTCTGGAAAATGATTAATATCAGCTACTACCCAAGTCTTCGTTCAACAAAAATATGTCAGATCCTGAAAGTTTCATTATAATTCAGGACTCTGATGCCAAAAATTTTTACTTCTTCTTATTCTTCTTATTTTTACTTCTAGATTATTGAAAATTTCCATATTGACTTTCATTAAATACATATTGTGTATCTCTATTGAAAAAATTCGAAAAAAAATTTGAAAATTTGGGCATAACGTTGTTTTTCGTAATAAATATACTCAATTAGAAAAAGTTATTATTTCGTTAATCCAGGGAGATTAAGGATGCTACGCTTACTCATTATCATTCAGAAATATTCTTGGAATCTTCTATTTGAGCGAATTGAATTTCACCATGTTATCAAATAGGAAATATGATTATATAAATTGAATATGAACATATGAAACAAAAAAAAATAATTGAAAGGCGTATATTCTTACAAGAGATTCATTTTACGGAAAGAAAGGTTTTGGCTCTATCTCTATCTTTACACGGAAAAATTTGGGGATTTTTCAAATAAAGGTAGAAAGCAATTCTGTGGCGGTCGGTGGCCAGGCGGTTCGACGTGGGTGCTTTGTTCACTCACTCGAATTGACTGCCGTGTTAGTCGCTGGTTCAAGCCCCAGTTTTAACGATCGATTTTGAATCAGATAATATTCACAGAATTGCTATTCATGAAGAAGTTGAAATTCCACTTACATGGAACACTCAATTGTGGACATCCGATGTTTTGAATTAGACTCAACTCAACACCAATCTGGATAACATCATTGTGAAGAGTTCATTTTGAAATCAATTGATTTCTTCTTTTATTTGTAATTTTTTTTATAAATATGGAGAAATGGAAAGCCAAAACCTTTCTTTCTTATAAAAAATTCTCTAATTTTGAGAAGAAGAATACATTTTAAATCATTTGTTGATGATGAAATACTAAACTTATATCTTATCTTTCCAAGATATACTCTATAACTTCAGAAAACATTATGAAAAATCTATCTACAAAATTCCAATTGAAGTAAGTCACAGAAGTAAATAAAGTGGTTTGTATAAACTAGGAGAATGCAAGAGTCTCAATTTGCAGTTGTCTCAAACTCAACTAGGAAATAGGTACAGGATACTCAAAAGTGTGAACGGTGAACAGAATTATGCTAATACAAAATATTTACATTATCTTTAAATTCCAACATTTTAGAATTATTCTGGATAGGAATATAGAAATCTGATATTCTTTGAACATCAACAACAAATATTATTCGAAACGATAAATGATAAAATGTTTGAAGGCATTCACTTCAAGGCTGTGAATTCAGGTAATCTTAAATGAATACCCATTTCTATCAATTTTTGTCTCCGGAATCGGGACCACTGATACGTCTCTTTTGTCTTGAACATTGATAATAAACCCTCACGAGAACCATTCAATTTTAAATTAATGAAAATGTGTAAACATAATTAAGTATCAAGGGTTATGTTTTGACTATTAAAGCATATGATCTATTATAAAACATAGTTAGAAATACCTCAATACCTTACTATTTGTAGTATTTCGATTATCAATAAATGGATCGATGAGACATGAATGAGTAACCGAAGGGAACGGAATTATTCAGTTTCGTCTAGAATACTGTATATTTTACCAGAAAATTCGATACAATACAATTTGCATACATTGTCGATGAAACTATCTTAGGTTAGAACTAACTAGAATTTCAAAAATAATTCGTCTCACACTTTTCTATGATATATACCGAATATCGAAAGAGCTCAAAAAAAGTTTTTCAAAACTGATGGCGTGTAACCTCCAAAGAAATTACAGTTATATCGAACTATAGCGAACATTTGTTCT